CCTTTTCTTGAGGTGTTTAAATAAGGATAAATCCGAGTATTTTCCAGCGAGTGCGCGAAAATTGTGTTCGAAGGAGTCGTGCGTGCATCGAAAGTGGTGGTGGACATTTTGAGCATATATTGTAGTTTGGTTTGTACTTGTGCATTTAAAAATTACTGAATTTTGCTTTTTACCTAAATTATTTTGAATATGTATGGTTATTTGGACGACGTGAATCTTTGGGTACTTTAGTTAAGTACATATTTTTCAAATTCATAATTTGATTAAAAGTTAAGTTCCTGTTTCGAGCAAAAAATTTAAGCACAACACTATCTTCATACTACGAAATCGATACATTTTATTTTATTTATTTAAAAACTTGAAAACAATTGTCTTGAAATTTACTAATTGTTTCACAATAATAGTTATATACATTTTTGTTATTCCGTAGGACGTCTGCCGCGTGCACAACGTGGAGTGCATCAGCTGTATAGCATTGTCACGGTATGATGAAACTCTCCAATATTAATAGTCGCTGTATTTTGCAAACTGTTAATCTCACGCCCCTGTAATATACAACTTTTTTGTTCATTTATGAATATTCTATCTCATGCGGAAGTAATGTCAGTCAAACTTATTACACCCTGTATGCTAACCTCGTATCGCCCGATGGTCAATATATCATAAAAAAGACACAATACGCGCTTCAGGAGTACATTCAGAAGTTCGCCAATGGTTTTTCTTTTCAATTCAAAACATTCAATTGAGTTATTTCCATCCCGGTAGCATAACGAACAAAACAATAAAAGAATCAACCAAATATGTATGTCGTTCCTATTGTCAGTTATGATCGAGAGTGCATACAAAAATTATGATTTTTGCATTTTTTCCTAGTTTTCCAATTTTCGTTTGTAATTGTACCGAATTGTTACTGAAAACTTTTCCAGTGCCATTACGAACAAAACAAAAAAAAACAATTACGCATATTCATCGCTCGAATCGTGAGTTATAGTCTTGAGCTCAAACAAAAATCCCATAGAAAGCACTTAGTTTTTCTTGAATTTTCCGGACAATCCAATTTTTCTTTCCCTAAAAACCTTATTCGGAGTATTACCAATATTAAAAATTCGCCAAATTTGCATTTAATTTTTATTTTGTTATATAGACATCAGTATAACTCTGCTTATACTCTGTGTTGTGTTGTCAAGTGATGTGCTAACACGTGTTAATACAATGCAGTACTACATGACAGCTGATAAACTGTGTATTATAAATTAAACACGACACAACACGTGTTACGTACCATCAAGTAAACCTAGTATATCACATATCCAAAGACGATGCAAAATCTCGTAAAATTTGCTCTTAATCAAAATTTTGGAAGATATAAAAATTAGAAAAATAAACGATTCACTTCAGAAACAGTATTTCTTAATCATAGGCGTGCGTACACTGTAAAAAAATCGGCATAAGTGAAAGCAATAAAAGTTCGGAGTGTATCCATTGAGTGAAATTATTGAGTACATCTTCACTCAATATTAGGCAATTTCATTTTACTCATTTGTGATTATATTTAAACTAAAACTGAGTACTTTCACTCCTTAAATAAATTCTTCACATAAACTCGTATTTGGTGCACTTGTACCTAAATCAGAGTAAATGTCCTTATTACTGAGTGATCTCACCCTTTTTCATATCCAGATGCATTGTCTTTATCTTTTCCCATCGTCCCATTAGATTATCTCGTGACTGTGGCGTGGTGGATAGCAGTATGGCATATGGTATGCTTTGGAGTTGAATAAGTATCGATTTATCTGGTTATTCTAGTGAAAATTGCAGAGATTTAATTACAATAATTAAAGACAATATATTAAGTCTCGATAAATATTTGGTTAAATAAACGGATAGTTAAATTGTTATCTATAATTACGAATTATAACGTACAATATAGGTTATGGCAATCTATTCATCCGATCAGTTCACCAATTCCTTTAATCGAGACCTAAAATATTGTCTCTAAAACCTGTGTAGAAACCACTGTGGCAGTTTATGTGCTTAGTTTATGACTTTAATACAATGATATTTAAATTAACATTTAAAGAGAATATAGACCAAGTCTGAGTAAAAAATTACTCAATAATAGTTAAATTTAAATCATATTAGAGAAAAAGTCAACTCTAAATTGGTTTTATACAGGGTGTTAATGAATAGGTGTTACAAACGGATATGGTATGTAAAAAATCCAAAAATAAGTGCAGTTTACTTAATAAACATATGTCATAAAGCGGCTCATTTTCGAGATACAGGACGTTGAAATTTAAAAATAATAAACTATTTTTTCCTGTAGCTCCGGTATTAGTTAATATTTCTTTATCAAACTCAACAGACAGATTTACTAGCTTAAAGGATGCATAAATATGGCAGAAACCATTTATTGGCTTCTTCTAGTGGCGTGCGATAGGTGTCGTTTCACATTTTATCCCCCCTAAATTTTGCGGCACTGTACAAATATTAGTTTTTCGTATGTTTTTGAATTTGCTAGTATTTTTTACGTAAATAATGTATACTTGTTAGAATTCCATAAAATGAGTAATTATCAAGTTATTAACATTTACATTACTGAGGTCACCTTATGCTCCAAAAACCAAAAATTTTTAAAAAGTGACATGTTGAGTAAATTTTTCACGAAATTGTTTAGTAAATGCATACATGTGTCGCTTTTTCTTTTTGAGATACAAAACATTCAAGGTTTCCGTATTCCTCAAGCAAGTTTAAAATGTTGGAAAAAAAACATTTGCCGTTGACATTACTTGTATTTTAATGTCAAATTATTTTCGATTGTGAAACGAGGCAGTTTTTAATTATTATTGTTATTTTAGTGTAAAGTTTAGTTTGTAAGTTTTAATTATTAGATAGATATCTTTATCCATTCGTTTAAAACATTCATACATCATGAATGAATATACTTCTGCTGATTATGCAAACATGATATTAATGTACGGTCAAGCGCGTTGTAATGGCAGGGCTGCCCGTCGGTTATACTCAATCCGATTTCCAAATCGTCCAACCCCTTCACATAAGATATTTGGAAGAGTGTTTCGCAGGTTGCAGGAAACAGGAACTTTTACAACAAATAGGGTTAACTGCGGGGTAAGGAGAAACCGCAGAACGATAAGGTTCGAAGAAGAAGTTCTTAATAGGATAGAAGAAAACCAATCCACCAGCAGTCGAAGTATTGCTCAGAATATGCATGTAAACCATGTAAGCGTTTGGCAAGTTTTACGCGAGCAACAGCTTCACGCTTATCATATACAAAAGGTTCAAGCTTTAACTCCCGCCGACTTTCAGCCACGACTAAACTTTTGCCATTGGTTTCTTCAACAGTGTCAGTTGCAAGCAAATTTTCCGCGGTTTGTGCTTTTTACAGACGAAGCATCCTTCACACGAGAAGGGATCTTTAATTCTCGCAACAACCATGTCTGGGCTGAAGAAAACCCTCACACCATTCGCTCCACTAGATTTCAGCAGAAGTTTGGCGTCAATGTCTGGGCTGGTATAATTGACGGGCGCTTAATTGGTCCGCACCTTCTTCCAAATCGTCTTACAGGTCCTATTTATTTAACGTTCCTACAACAAGTACTTCCAGAATTATTAGAAAATGTGCCATTGAACATTCGACAGGAAATGTGGCTGCAGCATGATGGTGCGCCAGCGCACTTTTCGCTTGTTGTCCGAGATCACCTTAATCAACAATTCGGTGTAAGATGGATTGGCCGTGGAGGACCTATGGCGTGGCCACCACGTTCCCCAGACATGACCCCGCTTGACTTTTATTTGTGGGGCCATATGAAGAGTCTAGTTTATGAAACTCCTGTTGAGTCAGAAGAAGATTTGGTAGCACGCATTCTAGCTGCAGCGCAGGAGATCGAAACGACGCCTGGCACTTTTGACCGAATGTACACAAATATGCTTCGAAGAATTAACGCTTGTATCGCTACTGGTGGCCGTAATTTTGAGCATTTACTGTAATTTTTTTGTGCAAAATAAAAATACCTTTTAAACAACTTTAACTTTTTGTATCTCGAAAACTAGCATAGCATAGAAAAACATAGTTTTTGGAGCATAAGGTGACCTCAGTAATGTAAATGTTAATAACTTGATAATACTCATTTTATGGAAGTCTAACAAGTATACATTATTTACGTAAAAAATACTAGCAAATTCAAAAACATACGAAAAACTAATATTTGTACAGTGCCGCACAATTTAGGGGGGATAAAAGGTGAAACGACACCTATCGCACGCCACTAGAAGAAGCCAATAAATGGTTTCTGCCATATTTATGCATCCTTTAAGCTAGTAAATCTGTCTGTTGAGTTTGATAAAGAAATATTAACTAATACCGGAGCTACAGGAAAAAATAGTTTATTATTTTTAAATTTCAACGCCCTGTATCTCGAAAATGAGCCGCTTTAGGACATGTGTTTATTGTGTCAACTGCACTTATTTTTGGATTTTTTACATACCATATCCGTTTGTAACACCTATTCATTAACACCCTGTATACTCAGAATGGAGTCAAGTCACTCAATTAATAGTTAGCATTTCTGATGCAATAGCTTTACTCAATCGTGTGTGGACCGAAATTGATACATTATTGAGTAAAATTGAGTGAAATTTGAGTGAATTTTTTTTACAGTGTAGAAAAAAAGTTGTTGGGGGTAGTATACACTGCCACCCCATATCGCTATACTTCGATTTTTTATGGTATTGCGTAAGAACGTGCGCAAAATTTTAACTCATTTTATGAAATAATAAAGATATAAAAAATTGTTTTTGAAAACAATAACATCCTGTATCAATCTTTCTGTAATTTACATGAAAAAATCCGATTCGTAAACATAATAAATGTTTCCATACACTCTCGACCTCAAATTACCTACCACTCAACAAAGGCGGCGGAATGCAAAGCTGGAGATAATAGAAAAATTTGTTTACGCAGATATAAATTCATGACTCACCCCTTCCTAACGAAATTGCTGATATAATGGATGAGAGTTTTGGAGACGGCAGCGTCGCTGTGGCTGTAGTTGTGGGGAAAAAAGGGGCCGCCCCCAATCAGGGGCAAACCCAGGATGTACGGCAGGTCCTCTCCTCGCACGCTGCCCGGCCGCTGGAAATGAAAATAGAAAATAAATACTGGGATAACACTGTCCATAAAAAATAAAATACGCATCGGGAGTTTTTTACGTTGGGAGTTTCGGGATTGATTCATATGCGGATAGCCCGCCGCGCTTGATGGATCTGCTTTAAATTGCAAATGGGTCGCAGTAGGAATGTTCTAAGCGCTCATTTAAATACATGGAAACACTTACTAAATCCTAATTACCAATTAATTGTCACGAAACAGGAATTTGGACTGAGGTTATTAATAGAAATACTCAACAAATTCAAAACGCAGGATGTGTTTAATTAAAACAAAAAAAAATATTTAACAAGACCATTTTCCTAAATTAAACTACTTTTATGAAGTAAAAATAACATCTTTATCTTACATTATACAAAATTATTAGTGAAAACGAAAATGAACCGATTGTGAATGAAGTATACAGGGTGGTCCGAATTTTATGCAGGAAACTTCGAGGGCAGATAGATCTCTTTAAAATAATACGTGTTTGCCTTATAAACATAGGTCTGAACCGGCACAGTTTTAGAGATACAGGGTGTTGAAGTTGTCATAAAAAATTTATTTTTTGTTTATATCTCCGGAATCTATTAACCGATATCAATAAAATTTGGTACATATAATGTATGATAGTAGGTTTTACATTTCCTGAAATATGAGCTTTAAAGGTTCAACCAGTGGTGTACAACTGGATAGGGGTCACTCCCTTTTTTACAAAAAAACCTACGCCACTGCATTTTTTATATGTCATTGTAACTGATTTATATTCTAATACACAAAATACGTAAAAAAGGTAACTTTAATTTTTTCCCTAAGATTCGCCGTTCTCAAGTTATTCATACCAATACAATCCCCTTGTGGCTGACACTACTGACGATAATATTACAAGAATATTTGTTTATGTTTAAAAGTAAGTGCAATTTGTAAGCACATCAACAACATTATTTACACTCCTTTCTACACCACCTGTGAGATAGTGTGCGATATAAACAAAAAATCTATTTTTTTTAAAACCTCAACACCCTGTATCTCTAAATGGGGGCCTATGTTTATAAGACAAACACATATTATTTTAATGAGATCTATCTACCCTCGAAGTTTCCTGCATAAAAATCGGACCACCCTGTATACAAGAATCCACAAAAAAACATAAAAGTATTTTGCTATATAAAGTTGTTTTCAAGATCATATTGTCTGGGTTTTCAAGCAAAGAAGTATACTTTTTACACTATTTTAAAGGTTCGAGTTAAATCAAAAAGACACAACTTTTTTCTAAAAAATCTTAGCAAATGAATTTAAAAAATATTATTCGATACCAGAAATATCGATATGAAAAGAATATCAAACCCCACAGGAAACAATTATAACTGTTGATATTGCAGAAGACAACTACACGATTACATTGACTTATACCAGCAATACTAAATAGTTAGTAATAAATAATTGTCCAAAACAAAACTATACCTAAGTATGTCTAACTATAATTAATGCAAAAACACAAACCTAATATACTGAAATTGGTAAGTAATAATCAGTAATCATTGAAAGAAATATTTTGTACCTTTGCTGTTCTGTTATGACCCTTGACAAAGACTAATCCGCAAAAAAACAGCTGCTACAAAAAGATCTTTTTGTTTCCACATTTTACCAATGATTGATTCATTAGATTGTCCCCTCTCGTATGCAGTTAATAAATATTAACAGAAAATAATATTTCTTTACGTGATTAATCTTTGTCAATGGTGTTGATAGAACAGCAAGAATACAAGATATTTCTTTGAATGATTACATTATTTAACAATTCCAATATATCACGTTGGATATATCAGATAATATGTCAATATATCAGGTTTATCATCTGTTTCTGTATTAATTATATTTAACTCCGATACTTTGAGTTTCGGTTAAGCCTTGGTTAAGTAATCACATGATTAGTTAATCAAGTCTTAACCGAAACTCAAAGTACCGGACCTTAGACAAATAATTTTGTTTTTCGTTTTGGGCAATTATTTATTATTAGCTGTTTATTAAGTACTGCTAGTATAATTCAATGGTAGTTGAAGCAGATATCCCATAAAGTAGATGTCCTTTGCTTGCCAGATTTCTGGTATTGAAGAACATTATTTTATTTCACTTAATTCGATTTTTTTTATAAAAAAAATTTAATTTGATTGAACTAACTTAATATAAAGAGTTGTATCTCTAAATTTCTGCGGAAGAAATGAAGACATTGAAGTGAAATTATGTGTGTACAATACATCGATAAAATATAATTGAATGTGAAAAAATTAAGTCTTAACCAATAGCGTAAATCTAGATAGAAGGTACGCAGATTACATTTTCGTCAAAAATTGTAGGACGTCATTGGAAAATAATTTTTTTTTTTCTATTTTGAAAATTTATTTTATTTAAATTTGGACGATAAACTATCACACATATTATTATTGCCACACACATTTTTTTTTAATTTAATAAAATGTTTTTTTAGTGTAATAATAATAATAATAATAATAATAATATAATAATAATATTCGTATAGGTATGTTATTTGTGTATTCCTTTCATCTTTAGTCATAAAAAAAAACACACCACAGAAATGAGACAACCCCCAAATCCAAAAGCCAAAGGCTTGTGCGGAAGGGGGCTACACTTGAAAAAACGCGGACAAACACCCATTATCCATCGACATTGCTAGTGCCGACATCGGGGATCGAACCCGGACCAGAGTAGGAAGCCTACCCGAGAAATGCTTGTCACCGCACTCTCGACCGACTGCGCTACCGTGGCGATTAA